AGCAGATAATTTTCAGCAATTTCTCTACTTGAAGCCTGAGAAGATGTCTTGAAATCATTTAAGTAGCTAATTTATTAAGCATAACGGTAATCATATTAAAGAAAATATTGGTTTTTGAGGTAAGAGGAGAATGTTCGTAATCTTTGCTCATGCGCCTAAAATTGGAGAGCCAAGCAAAGGTTCTTTCAACTATCCAACGTTTTGGAATAACCTGAAATCCTTCAGCTTCGGGATCTTTTTTAGCAATTGTGAGTAGACATCCGGTTTTCAGAAAACAGCGCTTTTGCAGTTCACCTGTGTATCCTTGATCGGCAAAAAATCTCTGCAAAGTTAGTGTTTTGCGCTTTGCTTTTATTAGTAGAGCTAATGCTCCATCACGATCTTGCACACCTGCACTATGCACATCAGCTGTGACTACAAGACCCAACGTATCCACTATAATATGGCGCTTCCTGCCTTTTATCTTCTTTCCAGCATCGTAACCTCTGGACCCCCTTTTTGAGTCGTTTTTACTGATTGACTGTCTATTATTCCAACAGACGGTGTTGCTCTTTTGCCGGCCATTTCTCTTACCTTTTTTACCAAAGAGTCATGTATTCGTTGTAATTTTCCATTATTGCGCCACCTGAAATAGTGGTCGTATACTGTTTTCCATGGCGGAAAATCTTTTGGCAGCATTCTCCACTGACAACCTCCTTTCATTATATATCTTATTGCATGCTCTAATATCGTGTTTTCTTGGCCTTCCTATTGCCCCTTGTGCAACGTATGGCTCTAGTATTTCCCATTCTTTGTCACTTATGTCACTTGGATACATTTTTTTGCCTCTTAATTCTACATTTGCTTTAGTATATTTATCTTTTCATTTCTTTTCAAGACATCTTCTTAGCGTGACAAAAAATTCAATTATTTACTTGTTGATGTTCTTCAAAAAGGGCAAAAAGGCTTTATACGGTTGAGAACAGAACTCCAAAATTAACGTATTATGTAAAAATTTAGGTATTTTACGGAAAATAATAAAAGGCAAAGGGCAACAGATATAGATGAGTTCGAAAGACAGTGT